AACGGTACCTCCCTATATGCGGTATTTTGATAATTTTAGCGACATTATTCACCGGAATTGTTCCAAATTTGGTAATAGAACTTCGTAATAGACACTACAGCATAAGACAGAAAATTGTCTGTGCGGGTTCACGTCTTCGTATAGCCTCCATATAAGGTACCTCCCGATATTCGGTATTTTGATGATTTTAGCTATATTATTCACCGAAATTATTTCAAATTTGGTATTTGAGGTTTGTAATGGATAATACAGCCTAAGACAGAAAATTGTCTGTGCAGGTTCGCGTCTTCGTATAACCCCCATATAACGGTACCTACTGATATTTGGTATTTTGATGATTTTAGCTACATTATTCACCGGAATTGTTTCAAAATTAGTATTTGATGTTGGTAATGGATACTACAGCCTATGACAGAAAATTGTCTGTGCAGGTCCACGTCTTCGCACAGCCCCCATATAATGATGCCTCCTTATACTCGGTGTTTTGATGATTTTAGCTACATTATTTTTAACGAATTTTATTATTTTTGAGAATTGCCAAATTCGTTCCAAAATTGTTTTTCTAGAGGCTTTTCCCAACATTTTTTTTTCGTAATACCTTTCCACTTTAACTCCAAGTAACTGAAAGTAAAATCGGCCCAGCCGTTCTCAAATTATGTGTAACCATACTCTTTTACACTTTTTTATACACATTGATTTAAAGAAGTAGGCGTCGGCAGTTCCTCTGACTCTAATAAATACTTAGGGTTGGATAGAGAGTCAACAATACCGCGTATACAAATTTTCAAACAGATCTCTTTTTTATTTTGACAAATATAAAGATTTTAAGTAAATCAAAAATATGGGCGTAACAGCAGGCGTGGTCAATTTATTTTTGCATAAAAACCTCGGTGTAGGACGATCATTTGTAAAAAAATGTTCAAATCGGTTTAGCCGTTGTCAACTGGCACAGCTACCAACGAACGACAATTGATTTTTATATATATAGATTTGGAGTGTAACTACATCATATTGCTATGAAAAGTATTTTTTATATCTATTCTAATATTAATTGAATGCTATTACGGCCCTAATACTTTTTTCCGATAGGTCAAAGTTCATATTAATATTCCTCTATTGCATGAAATCATCGTGTGTTTTTAGGCATATTCATAATATTTAGGAAAGCAAAAATACAAAACTATATGCATATATATTTAACATTAAATTAGAGTATTTGTTCATCAAATTTCTGCTTCATTTATGTATCGCGATGAAACGAGCCACAAAACACCATGGTTATTAAAACGTTACAGTATATTAGGATGAGTCATATTTGTTTTGATAATATAAGATCTTAGCAAAGTAGGGAAAAATTGAGTCAAACAAAATGACTCAATTATTGGTAATTATGTTGGAAATGAAAATAAAAAATTAAAAAAGATCCATTTATTATAATTTAGATGTGACTGCAATTTAAACCAGCAAATTTAAACAGTAAAGAGAGGAAAAAATTCAGGCGGGACCGGCTATAATGTACAGTACACCAGAGCAGAGCTATCTGCCACAACAAATATACGTTTATATTGGGCACTTGTGTGAGATAAATTCAGTTCAACGCTGATCGTTATTGCATGAGTTTTCCAGCATAAGAACTGTTTAAATTCGATGTAAATAAAATTTGGAAGCTATATCTTAAACTAATCGATGCGAAGGTACCAAATGGTACCACTTTCAATCATACAGGGTGAGATAAAAAAATGCAACAAAGTCAAACGCCATAATTTGTACATTTTTTTTAAATATTATTGAATAAAAGCAAAAAGTGTCGGAAATAGAATCAAATTTTAGAATAAGTTTAGATTTATTCGAATTGGTCACCTTTGGCGCGAATTATGGCCTTCACACGCCCAATGAAACCGTCACACGCTGCCCGAATGTTGCTCTGCGGTATTTTGGCCCATTCCCGGCGATGCGCTTGCTTGAGGTGATCAACACGCCAACCTTGTTTTCCAAAAAACTCTAGACACAATAGTCTAACGGATTGGTATCCGGAGATTTTGGTGGCCATTGTGCGCTGAAATGAAGCGAGCAAAACCTCAGTTTGTAACCATTCTTGGGTGGCGGGTGCTGAGTGCGATGGTGTTGAGTCCTGCTGGAATGTCCAAGGTATGCGGCCAAAATGTTTGCGTGCCCGAGGCTTTAATGCACCCTCCAAAGTATTTTCGCTATAATATTCGGCATTTATTCCGATGCCACGGTCGATTAATACGAGCGGAGAGCGACCATCGGCTGTTATGACTGCCCACACCATCACCATGGCCGGCGCTTGAGTTCTGGTGGCCAACCGATGGTGCACATTTTCAACTGACCTCTTTGCTGGACAACGAATGTTTTCTCATCGGAGAAAACCAAATTCGGCAGTTCACCAATTTCGGCCAAGCGAAGCAAGTCTTTAGCTCTTTTGAGTCCCTTTTCTTTCTGTTGCGGTGTAAGTTCTTGCACTTTTTGGAATTTCAATGGCTTTACCCCGAGCTCATTTTTCAATATTTGCCGAATGGAAAATAGCGATATGTTCAGCTCACGATCCATTTTCGGCCACTGCGACGCGGATTTCGATCAAGTCGCTCCTTTACTATTCGAACCATTTCAGCTGATTTTGTTGTTTTCTTCCGTCCACATCCTTGACGTCGGGCTACACTACCAGTACGGGACACAAAAGGTTTATTCACATTTAAATGCTGGAGAGCTCTATCGATAGCCACTTGTGGTTTTCCAGCCAAATATAAATAAATCACACTATCACGCTAGAATTCACGAATAATTATTTTTCTGGAAAATTTTCTCCAAAATGCTTTTGGACGCTTGTAAACAATAAAGCGAGATGTCACTAGAATAATTTTAACATCTGCTGGACGAATGGCTTAGAAATAACAGCAGTCTAAAGTTGGTTGCAGTTTTGTCATCTCACCCTGCATGTATTTGAGTGAATGTATAATAAACAAGTTAAAAAGTGAATCGGCTTTGCCGACAAATGTATACCCGCAGACAATGTTCGATTGTTTAAATATATTTTGACTTCTTTTATGATTATTCATATGTTTGGCCCTCTATGGAATATTGCAAGAAAATCGAACATTTAATAAATAAATAAATCTGACATTTTAATAAATTCCATATTCGTCCCAGGTTTCTGATTTGAGAGAAATATTTAATTGTTAAGGCTCTCTGACTAGTTTCGCAAGTTATGACAGATACAAGTATTGAAAATTTTGACCCTTTGTGGGTGAGATATCAAAAAGGGTTCACGGATATATATATATTTGGATGTTCACAATAGATATTGTGTTAGCAAAAATGTTTGTATGTGTAAATTTTTATTTCGTCTATTTTTAGCACCAGACGAAATGTTCCGATCTCTAACATCTTTATAACAATTCTTGTGTTGATAAATATATTGATTAATGGAATACGATGGTATTTTCACGTTTTATGAGTTCTGGATATTAAAAAATTTACCCATTGTGGGGGAGGTACCGGAAGGAGTGGCCAGATATATTCCTTCTTCACAGCAGATCTTGTGTTAGTAGAAATAATGGGAGCTGTGAAATTTGAAGAGAGTTGGATGCTTATTTCGGATTTTATAATCGTTTTGGTTATTTAATACGTTGACCCCTTATGAGGGAGGTACCAGAAGGAATGTTCCGATCTCTAACATCTTTATAATAGATCTTGTGTTGATGTTGATGGAGTTGACCTATATCTTTCTGTGCAGAAAAGTATTTTTTTTTAATTTCGAACTTTTGTGGGAAAGGTACTAGAAAGAGTGGACCGATATTGCCCATCTTCGAACTCGATCTAAGTTTGATAATAATATTACGATGTACCAAGTTTGGACTAAATCCGATACTCTGTTCGAGAGTTATCGTGGGTCTAAAACCGTTTTTTCAATGAGGCATATTTTGGCCGTATCAAATGATATATACCCTCTCTAGTCTAGGCTGAGGGAATCCCCCAGATATTTGCGTCAGTCCCAAAAAAAACTTTCCCTGAATTCAGGGTACCTCTGAAAAAAATTAAAAAATGCAAGAGTTTTTATCAAACCACAGTAGTCCTTTTTTCAAAAATTTAACGTACCCAAAATTTGAATTTTTTGTTTTTGATAGAAAGAAAGAGTGAAATAACGGGGAAATACTTTCCCGGAATCAGGGTACAAATACCTTCCTGTGGAAAAAATCCAAAAAATTGAGAGTTTTTGCCAAACTAAAGCTCTATAATTCAAAATCCCTAAATTTTGGAATATAGTTTCTTGAAAAAAGTTAATTTCACCCACAAAAGGAATTGAGGCCAAAATGTTCAGAGAACCGGAAATGGATATGAAATTACAGCTGATTTGATTGGAAATTTTTACCATTTATCCGAAATACCAAAAATTTATGTGGAAGGTAGGCAAAAAGTGTGCCTATATTGAATTTTTTTGCGAGAAGTTATATCCTCACTAAAAAGCCGAAACGTTAAATTACGGTTGGTTTGGTAGCTTAAATGCCAAACATCGGGTTGTAATGGACATGGTGAAATCGACTTACCATTTTTTGCTGATCTCATATATATGTTCTCCCAGAATATTTCGGGAAATTGCAAATGGAATGACAAAATTAATATAATACACAAAAAATTTTCGAAAAGTTCACATTGCCAATATATCTACCACACGCCCTAATGCACTAACCAATTGTCCATAATTTTTGAACCACACAAAAAGAACCCATTCACAATTTGTTCATATTGACCAATTTAATTATTATTTAAAACTGGAAAATGTATTCTCTCATAATCTCTTAATCTAAAATCTGTAATTGCTCGAAATAATTATTTGAAATTTAAAACTAGAGCTCATCAACGAGCTTTGCAGTTGAAGTGGTATACATTTCACTGGTCATTGTGTCGTGATTGAGTGAACATCAAAATAGAAATTGTTTATTTTTGTGTTTTTTTTTTTTTTTCGTCATAGAAAAAATATTTAACAATAATTAAAATGTGTTCAAAAAATTGGTGGTGGAACAATTCGAAAGTATTCATCGTTTTGTTGGGATTTTTAAGCTTGAAACTGGTTCATGGTAGTTATGTGGAAACACATTATCCCAAAAGTGTTATTGAGGATGCAAATTTGGATGCGGTGAGTGTTAATAGGAAATTTAAAATGTTAAAAATTAGGTATAGACCCAGATAACTGTATTTAAGAGGTTCAGCCCAAATGTTCAATAGAATTATCTGTAATTTGTCATTTTGGGTTTTAGTTGAATGAAAAGCATTTCTGATTTTTTGTAAAAGTTGGCTATGCCGAATTTTTGAAATGCAGTTAATTGATCCACTTCTCCTTCGTTCTAAATGGCGTAAATTCAAAACTATCTTTTTGGCAAAAAAAAAGGAAAAATACGATTGAGGATATATCCACTAGGACATATTTCAGACCTATAAAAGAATTTGATGGTAAAAAATTCTGTAAATTATTGACCTGCTACGATCCCGATTATTGGTATTTTTAACAAATGTTTTAAAAAAGACGAAAAACACCGCTTTGGTGACTCACCGAAAATAAATCTGACAATTTCACAAAAATTTGGAAGTCATCCCCTTAATGTAGGTGAATGTAAACTTTCAAAACGCCGAGACACGCGTCTTCTATTTTTCTCTCTATTTTCATAACCTACAGGATTTTTCTGTTAATATTTTATTAAATTGTCATAAAAACTGCTTTTTGCTCTTTACAGGCCCAACTTTTGAAGAAGTACCATTATCCGGTTGAAAAACACTTCGTGACAACAAAGGATAACTACATATTGGGCATGCATCGTCTTCCCAGGCCGGGAGCCCCACCCATATTTATGATGCACGGGCTATTGGATAGTTCAGCCACATGGATTATCATGGGTCCACAAAATGCTCCAGGTAAGAAATTTGAACCAAAACAATATCCCTTTAAAACATAGCTTTGATCCTACAAAATTCCCACCTTAGCCTATTATTTCTATGACAATGGCTATGACGTTTGGTTGGGCAATTCCCGTGGCAATCGTTATTCTCGCAATCACACCACAATGGATCCAGACACCGATCCGGAATTTTGGACATTTAGTTGGCATGAAATTGGCATCCATGACTTGCCAGCCATGATTGATTATATACTCCAGCAGACTGGTTTCAAAAAGATCGGCTATTTTGGTCACTCCCAGGGCACCACGACATTCTGGGTGTTGGCCTCAATGCACCCAGAATATAATGAGAAAATCACAATGATGCATGCCTTGGCACCGGTGGCCTTTATGCGCCATGTTAAGGCCCCACTGTTGGGCTATGCCAGGAGTTTTGTTAAAATGTCCGAGCCACGAATCAGAGAATTTATGCCACGCAAAGAAATGTTGTGGAGAACATGTCTGGCATCGCCAATTACCGAGGGTACCTGTCTGGAGACCTACTATCAGGTGGTGGGAAAAGATGTGGAGACAACAAATACGGTTGGTCATGAATTTTGAAAATACAATTTTGAAAATACAATTTTTGTAATTCAATGGAAAATTTTCCAGACCATGTTCCCAACAATTGTGGGTCATTTTCCGGCTGGCTGCAATCTCAAACAGATCAGCCATTATATGCAATTAATTGACAGCGATCGGTTTTGTCAGTTCGATTATGGTGCAAAGGAAAATATGAAACGTTATGGTAAATCTACACCTCCCGACTATCCGCTGGAGAAGATCACCGCCAATGTGGGTCTGTATTACACGTTGAATGACTATTTGTCCAGTGAGGTGGATGTCAAACGTTTGGCCAAGATTTTACCAAATGTAGTGGAGGATAGTCTCTATCCTCATAAGAAATGGAATCACATGACCATGTTATGGGGCATTAATGCCCGTGAGATGGCTCATAAGCGTATGTTGGAAGTAATGAAAAATTACTCTTATGAATGAGAGAATATATATTTATGGATGTTATAAATGAAATTTAATGTTTTTTTATATTTTTGGGAAAATATATTTAGAGAGGGCCTAGAAGCTACCAAAAAATAGGAAGCCGTTAAAATACTGCTAAATAATAGGAAGATTAAGCTTTAAAGTAGGAGGAGTCAAGAAAGGTATGATATTTCCCCATTCGCCCATCATCTACACAAGGCTACCGAATCGATTTCGAAGTTAATTGAGATCGTAAGCGATTTTGGCACGTAAAAGGTTTGAAAGTCGGAGTCGGAAAAATGGATTTTAGTTTAAATTTCAAGAATTCAGATTATTGGTACCTTCGAACTTCAGTTTTAGATACAAACTCCGACCTCTACTCAGTCTTTGACAAACTAAATTGACTTTCTGCTTGGGATTAATTGATAATCAACATTTCTTCTATTTTGTAAGGGAGGTATCAGAAGGAATGGACCCAAAAAGTCCATATTTACATTACATCGATGGCTTATAGAAATATTATTAATTTACCATTTTTTAGGGAGGTACCCTAAATATTAGGCCAATGAGTTTCATTTTCACAACAATTTTCGAATAATTATTTTTATTAATTTTATGACATTTGTCCTATTAAAAAATGTAAAACCTATTTTTTCGGAGGGTGTATCAAAAGAAGATGGTCGAAAATGTCATATTCAAATCAGATCTCGAGTTTAGTCGAACATTGAGATATATTTATTTTAAAGAGAATCGCTGATTTGTTTCGCATATTATAAGGGTTATAAGGAGCCCAAATATTGACCCTATGTGGAGGAGATACCAGAATGTGTGGTCCGATATATTTCGTATTTACATCTGAACTTGTGGATTTGTGGGATTTGTAAAGTATTTAAAGAACCGGATGCCTATTTCGGATTTTAAAATCGATTTGGTTATTGAAAATTTTGACCCTTTGTGGGGGAGATACCAGAAGGAGTGGACCGATATATCCCATCTCAACAGCAGATATTGTGTTAGTAGAAATAATGGGTTGTGTGAAATATGAAGAGAGTCGCATGCTTATTTCGGATTTTTGGTCATATTGATTATTAAAAATGTTGACCCTTTGTGGGGGAGATACCAAAAGGAATGGTCTGATTTCTACCATATTTATAACAGATCTTGTGTTGATATAAATTTTGGGATGTGTCAAGCCTGAATGGAATTAGATGTTAATTTTTTGTTTTATAAACTTCATCGATATTCAAAATTTTAACCCTTTATGGGGTAGGTACCAGAAGGAGTGGAGTGGATCTTCACACCAGGCCGTGGGTTAATAAAAATATTTTGATGTGTGTAAAGTGAAGACAGTCGGACTCTCACATTCATTTTATAAGAGTTATAATTATTCAAAATGTTGACCCTTTGTGGGACGGAGTGAACCGATATTGTCCATCTGACCCAGCACTGATGCCAATATTAGGATTTGCAAAGTTGACGGAAAATCGGATTATCCTTTCTATTTCTCGGTAGTGAATTTTCTTTGAAAATTCTTATACTTTGTGGGGAGGTACCAGAAGGAGTGTACCGATATTGCCGTCTTCGAACTCTATCTAAGTTTGATAACAATATTACGATATAACAAGTTTGGATCAAATCGGATAATGCCTTCTATAGTTATTTTGCGCACCAGCCAGACAGACGGACGGACGAACACCTCTCTGAAACCGGTTTGGTCCAAAGAAACGTAGGGTCTAAAACCGTTATTTCGACTAGACACGTTTTGGCTTTATCCAATGATATTTACCCTAGCCATATGGCTGAGGGTATAAAAAAGAAGACACGTGTATCGATGTTTTAAAAGTTTACATCGCAAAGTATCCTAAGTAGAGGGGGCAAGTAATCTCCTCTTCCACATTTTTGGAAATTTTCGAAATCCGTGTACTTTAGGTATATGCAGGGTAAGATAAAAAACTGCAACAAAGTCAAACGTCATAATTTTTACATTTTTTTTTAAATTTTATTGAATGAAAGCAAAAAACGTCGGAAATAGCATCAAATTTTAGAATAAGTTTAGATTTGTTCGAATTGGTCACCTTTGGCACGAATTATGGCCTTCAATCGGCCAATGAAACCGTCACACGCAGCCCGAATGTTGTTCTGCGGTATTTTGGCTCATTCCCGGGAAAGCGCTTGCTTGAGGTGATCGACACATTGGTATTTTTTAGTGCCATCTTTCCTTTCTCAAATACTCCAGACACAATAGTCCAATGGATTGGTATCCGGAGATTTTGGTGGCCATTGTGCGCTGGAAATGAAGCGAGGAACTTCATTCTGTAACCATTCTTGGGTGGCGCGTGCTAAGTGCGATGGTACTGAGTCCTGTTGGAATGTCCAAGGTCTGCGGCCAAAATGCGATAATATTCGGCATTTATTCTGATGCCACGGTCGATTAATACGAGCGAGGAACGACCATCGGCTCTTTTGGCGGCACACACCATCACCATGGCCGGCGCTTGAGTTCTGGTGGCCAATCGAAGGTGCACATTTTAAGCTGACCTCTTTGGGAAGTAAAGACGATAATTTTGTTTGTTTGCAAACTGACGGACAACGAATGTTTTCTCATCGGAGAAAACCAAATTCGGCAGTTCACCACTTTCGGTCAAGTGAAGCAACTCTTTATATCCTTTGAGTCTATTTCTTTCTGTTGCGGTGTAAGTTATTGCACTTTTTGGCATTTCAATGGCTTTACCCCGAGCTCATTTGTCAATATTTGCCGAATGGAATTTTGCGATATGTTCAGCTCACGAGACGTTTTCGGCCACTGCGATGCAGGTTTCGATCAAGTCGCTTCTTTACTTTTCGAACCATTTCTACTGATGTTGCTGTTTTCTTCCGTCCACTTCCTTGACGTCGGGCTACGCTATCGATGGTACAAGACACAAAAATATTTATTTACATTTAAATGCTGGAGTGTTCTAACTATAGCCACTTGTGGTTTTCCAGCCAAATGTAAAGAAATCACACTATCTCGCTTGAATTCCATCACGAATAACTGTTTTTTTGGAAAATTCTCACCAAAATGCTTTTGTACCCTTGTAAACAATATAATGAGCTGTCACTGGAATGATTTTAACAGCTGTCGGGCGAGTGGCTTAGAAATGACAGCGGTCAGAAGTTGGTTGCAGTTTTTTCATCTTACCCTGTAGTGTCTTCGGCCATATTGCAGATACAAAAAATAGGAGGACTATTTTGTTCCGAAACTTTAACCCTCAAGCGAGTCAAAACATGGGTCTTTTTGGTCCATTTTTTATATAGTTAAAAATTCCCTATAAAACCCTCTATACTTGTCTTCTTTTGTAGCTCTACTTTCATAATCCACTGGATTTCTCCCGTAATTATTGAAGAATTCCAATTTGTTGCACAGTGTTATTTACACTTCTTTCCTAATCCTCTTCGAACATCAATTTTCTTGAATAATCGTCAATACAAATTCCTTTTTTATTGAAGTACACATTTTCAATTCAAAATTATTTTTTTCATTTTATTCAATAATTCAAAATAGTTAACGAAAATGTTTCCTATTCATCGTCTATTCGTTAAATGAAATGAAATTACCTACCCAAAGCCTAATTGAGTGGTACTTCACTCTAATCAAAATGTCATCGGAAATATTCAAACAATTTATCAAAAATCAACAGCAGCAACAACAGCAAAAAAACCATTGTCCCTCCCCAGCAAAAGTTGCCAGCAATTTCCTGCTTTTCGCACAAAAGAATCGACTAAATTCTAATAATAGAGTCCTTTCTTTAGTTGCAATGCAAAAAATTCATTGAATGACAATAGTTGGAAATATGCATTTTTGTTTGAACATTTCTTTTTTTCTCGCAGAGGGCTGCTGAAGAGCTTCGTAGACAGGCGAAACCGGCGATTGGCAGCAATCTAAAAAAAGCCAATTTGATTTTTGTCAAATCACAGACTATTGGTGACAGGCACCAATAAAACTTAATGTCTGTTCGCTTTTTTGTTTACTTTTTTTTTTTTTTTGTTCGTTTGGTTGGTTTGAGTTTCATTTCATTTTTCCGCCCTAGCCATTCGAGCTGTCAGATTTTCGGTTTTGAGTATAAACCACCCACCCAATTGTCACAGGGCAGAACGACCAGAAAATATTGGGTGGGGAGAAGGGGACCAAATGACTGATGATGTGTCTGAAGCTGTAGAGTTGAAACAGCTGACTACCAAATATTGTAGGGACATCAAAGGCACAGTGTAAGGATTCGAAAAACGAAACTATTAAACAATTTCGAAGGAATGTGGGGGAGAGATTTTTCTAATTCTCAATTTTTCTTAAAAAGAAAACACAAAAAAAAACAATATTCTTAAAAATGGAATTGTCAAGGAAGTTTTTGAAAAACATTTTTGCGGTACTCAAATTTTTTTAATCCATGGTGATTTACCTTTAAAATTTTTGATAAGGATGTCCGTCATGACAATTCCTCCAAAATACTCTTACAACATCTACTATTTCTTAGAGAAAATACTGTTAACATTTTCGTTTTTGGTTAGGAGATCCCTCTATGTTTTTCGTGATCTTCATGATCCAAAATAACCCTTCAAATTGAGAAGAATACAAAAAAAAAATAGGAAATTTCTTTCATAAAAATTCTTATATATTTTTTTTTTTTTTTCATGAAGATCTTAAACAAATATTCTTGAAAAGCTAACGATTTGCAGGCAAATAGGTCATTGATTTTTTAATTCCATATTCCATATTTTTTGTTCATGAGACCTTTGAAATTAAAAATAGTCTAAAATTTTGGTCAAAGTATTCATTCTAAAAATATTTTAAAACGTCACTATTTTCGTCCAGGAAGTATTAAATATTTTTAAATCAATAAATTTGGTTTGGAGGAGCATCAAGAATTGTTTAGAAAAAATTCATGTTTATAGGTCAGGAGAAATTTTAAACTCTCGACCCAAGTACGCGATTCTCTGCCAGGAGTCTTTGAAAAATAATTTTTATATAACGAAGACTTTTGGCTTGG